TAGGGTTACCTGTTGTCCTTCACTTCCCAGGTTGCACTCTTGAAGATGGCATTTATGTCCAGCGCTCTCCGGTCAGGACTATCTGCATGTTGTCCACTATCTTTGTTACTTTGTTGTTCTCCTACCTGTCATCACTGCTCTTCAACAGAGGATTGATTTCTGAGAGGTGGGACGTATTCAAAGTGAAGGCCAACAAACGATCACAAAAATTAACATTAATGAGCAATGGCATCATCAAAACCGACAAGGAGGAGAAGCCTGATGGTCAGAATGAAACTGAACTAATACTAACCCCCAGTCAGTTGGAGTGACAAACTAAATGATTTAGTGGGATGCAGATGTTTGTTTTTAGAATAGAATAGAATAGCTTTTTATTGTCACTGTTACAAGAACAATGAAAGGCAGTTTGGCATCTCTCCATGTGTGTGAAGTACACAATAGCGTAAGTATTTACACAATAACAGAAAAAATTTACATTTACACAAGAAAGATATGTACAAGTTATACATACACCTGCAAACATACATGCACATACATACATATATGCATCCGTACATACATACACACACATATTTCCACATACACGCTTACATTTATATACATACACATACATGCCATCTAACTAGTAGGTGCATTGAGAGGTGCAGTGTGATCAGTGATATTGCACATTGAGTGTGTGTGTGTGTGGGGGGGGTGCTGTTGGAACTATATTAGATAAGGTTATAATAAATACAGTTTAAAGAGGTAGGGGTGTTGCTTGCATTGAAGTATAAATAGAAATATGATTTATAAATAAGGTGTAATGTCCATGAGTGTTGGCAGTGCAGTTATCCTCCAATCAGGGTGGAGGTAGGGCATGTTTGACAGCCTGTGGGTAAAAACTTCTGTTGAGTCTGTTTGTCTTTGACCTGTAACGTTTACCAGAGGGAAGGGGGGGGAAAGTGAGTGTCCAGGGTGCGAGGGGTCTTTGATGATGATGCTGGCTTTCTGCTGAAGTCTGTCAGTATAGATGTCTCTGAGGGGGGTTGGTGAAGTGCAGATTGCCCGCTCTGCTACCCTCACCACGCGCTGCAGTTTCCTCTTGTCCTCCGCGGTGCAGCAGTTGATCCAGAGTGTGCAGCAGTAAGTCAGAAGGCTCTCGATGGTGGAGCAGTAGACGTTTACGAGCAGTCTTTGGGGTAATTGGGCCTGACGTAGTTTCCTGAGGAAGTACAGCCTTTGTTGTGCTTTCCCTACCTGGTGGGAAATGTTTGTGGACCAGGTAAGGTCGGCCGAGATGTGGACTCTGAGGAACTTAAAGCTTTATACCCTTTCTACCTCCTCCCCATCAATGTAGAGGGTAGAGTGCTCAGATCGCTTTGTTCTTCTGAAGTCGATTACCATCTCCTTGGTCTTGGCTGTGTTCAGGTTGTTGTCGTCACACCATTGCTTCAGATGCTGAACCTCCTCTCTGTAGGCTTTGTTTTTCATTGTTGTCGATCTGACCCCGCCCAGCAGCCAGACACTGAACTTCAACAGGTAACATCTGTGATGAGCAGTCAAGCTGGACCTGTTTCTACCTGTTCATGTTACTAAAGTAGAATCACTGTGGAAATTACTGTGAAGTTTCTTTGTTCCAGTTCTAATCTTTGCTTTGTTTTGTTGGCTTTGTGTTCGCATGTCAATGCTTTGAGAAAGATCATATGTGTGTCCTTATTAGGATCGGGATATGTGTTGGTGTGTGGG